TTCACTAGCTTCTTCTGTAAGTTTTGGTTTCATACAACGAGCTATGTGGATGTATTTTCTCATGAAATTTATGGTAAGAATTTGATCACTAAAAAAATATTACCTTTATGTGAAATGTTAAACTATTATAAATATTAACATATGAATGTATAAGAGATTTAAATGTACCGTTTTGATCGTAATGTGCCATGCAACAATGGATCATGCTTCTGATACACTTCAGTCGCCATTCCTTCATTAAGAAGTTGGTCAGGATTTTTCGTGGTTAGTATATCTATTTTACAACCAAAGGGTAATGCTTCTCCATCTTGTTCAGTTGGAGTTCTGTACCTATGCATTCTCACAACGTGATCACTGATTATTTGATCTTGTTCATAATCTACTGTATCCAGCATGACGAATAACAAATCAAAACGTGAAAGCAGCGAATCTTGAAGGCCTATATTTTCCATTGGCGTTTTATATTGGTCATACTGAAAATGAATGCAAGAATAAGCAACAAATATATGTTAGTTCTGAAATTAAACTATCAGTTTTACTGTAATTAAGTCTTACTCTTCCATAAACTGGATTTGCAGCCGCTAGCACCGAACACCGTGCATTTAAGCTAGCATGTATTCCAGCTTTAGCAATTGTTACTTTTCCCTGCTCCATCACTTCATGGATAGCTGTTCTATCAATGTCTGACATCTTATCAAATTCGTCTATACAGATAATTCCGCGATCCGCTAACACCATAGCTCCAGCTTCAAGTCTTCGCTCCCTTGTCTCATTGTCTATAGTAACAGCAGCTGTTAAACCCACACCAGATGATCCTCTACCAGTAGTCGGTATTGCTCTTGGAGCAGAACACAGTACATAACGCAAAAGTTGTGATTTTGCAACAGATGGATCACCAATGAGTAAAACATTAATGTCTCTAGAAGAGATCACCAATTAGATCTTCATTTCCTTTGAAGTTTTTCATTATTTATAGAATATAATATTCTTTACCCTCTTAATCTTGTGCCATTAGGTAATAATTTTTCAACACCACCAAGTAGTAAACATAAAATTGCTTTCTTCACATAATCATGTCCATGAATAGAAGGTGCTAATGATTTACTGAGTAATTCAAAAATATTTCTGCATGGATTACTTTTAGCAAGTTTTTTACACATTGCAACATCATCATGAGAAATAGATAGAGTAGCTTCTTTACTTAATTGCATAATGTTGTTAGCAATCAAAATTGATCTGCAATAAACAGTTTTACATACAGGCAATTATAAACATTACAAAGATTTTATTTCTTAATATACTAACTTGAAAGTTCCTGTTGTGTATCCTCCTTGTTTACCAGGTAGACATCTGAAACTTCCAACAATCTGAACCCTGTCCCCAGGTTTACAAAGATCTACTAAATCATTGTCACATATAACATCTATACTTCTTGGTAACTGGCCAGTTGGTGCTTTTTCTGGCATTTCTTGTATAGTTAATGTTTGATGATCTTTGTATGTAGAAAGGCCAAATTCTGTTTCCAATGGATTGCCATCTTCATCCTATATTTAAAATATCAGAAGTATAATGTGAAATATACAAATTATGTTTAAATCACATGAAGGTACTGTAAATAATTTACTGTTGTTGGATACACAGCAGACTGTGGAAATGCTTCAAATGATGTAAAATCAGTGTAAGCCCTTTCTATCACTGTCTTTGTTGTAGTACAATAATGAACACTTCTAACAACCTTTGGTCGTACCAAAGAACCTAATAAAATTTATATCACATATTTTATAGAATCAAAATGTAATAACAGTTAAATATAAAATTCACAATAATTTTAAAGTTTAACTTACATTTTGTGACAATACCTTCCACACATACCAAGTTACCTAAGAAACGTGATGTTAAAGTTCTTGGTGTAACATGTTTGCTTCCAAAGCTTCCTTCAAATGCTATAAAAAAATTTACATTTCCTTTTGCATAGTTTGTGTCAATACTTGCAACAAATTGCTTTAATGCATTTTCAAAAGCTTGATGCTCTTCGAAAGAATTGCTTAGTAGGCTACAACAAAAATAGAAGTTAGTATAGTACAAAATATTGTAACATCAGTATTTAAAATATATTTAGAAAATAAGGAACCGGAATATGTGAATAAGATCTATTATGCACACCTTGCTGCACGAGCAGGATTCTTTTTCCTCAAATCGTTAACGTTTACATACAATCTTTGTTTTTCTTCTTCGATCATATTTTTAACGAGAGTAGTATAAATGCCTTGATCCTCCTAAAGAATAATCAATAAGGAAGTGTAATTTTGCGGCGAATCATAAATGTTTATAAACTCACCATGTCGTCTAAAAAATCCATATACTGTCTTTGCATTTCCTCGACCCTTTGATCTCTATCAACATCCATTTTTATTTCTGTTAAGCTTTTTACTTTACCACAATATTATTTACTCGAATGTTTAACAATTAAGAAACTAAGTATATACACAAGAAAACGATCCGCGTGTTTTCTTAACAACGTTGCGCGGGAAAATAAGAAAATCGAAACACTCGAGATTCGATATATTTCAAACGATCGACATCTTGAATATTTCGATATATTATTCTTCATTCGATTCCAAGAATCATTACGCATTCCAACAGATGTCAGCACAATTTACATAATTAAAAAATTCAGAATCTTATTGCTATAAACTACAAACTTCGATCACTGTAAGCGATAATTTAATAAAATTAATGGAGAAGAGAGATAGGATGTACATAGATAATGGAATAAAGAGCAATTAAAATGTCAGTGTCTTTGTATTTTTTTATCTGCAATTATCGCATGGAAGTACAATTATTTTCCCGCAAATTTCCCAAATAAGCTTTTACAAATTTATATCTCAAGGTCACTTAACACGTAAACAACATTTAGAAAATTACAGTAAATGATATGTTTGCTGGCAGAATTTTTATGTGCTATTAGTTACAAAGGTTGTGTACGTATAAATAGAAGGTAAACGCTACCTTCTCACTTTCAATGCGTTTGAGACAATCTAAAAGTCGAAGTGTAGGTTTCTCATAGTTCTTTAGCTTCACATTTCGTTCGATTAGGAGCAACCTACATCGTTAGTCATGCAGCTTGAAAGACCAATATGATTTTACTTGTTTTTTTTTTCTTTTTGTTTTTTGTTTGGTATTGCAATCTTGCAATAGGCACGCTAAGATTCGTATACGTGAGACGCGTATACAAGGGTGCCCAAAATACAGTCAGAGAGGATTCAAGTATATATTTTGAGCATAACCGACGTTCTCTTTGAAAATTAACGTCATCCGTTTTGCTTCTCGTGAACACCATTCTCTTGTGGCTTCAATGGTTTTATCACATCAACTTCGTTCAGTTGCTCTATGTCTAGTTGTTGTTTTTTCTTTTTCTTCGAAGGTTTCCTAACATAAGACATTGCAAAAATGAGATTAAAGTAAACTTCGTTTCTTGTAAAAGAAAAAGGAAATGTAAATCGACATACTTCCCGAATAATTCGGCATCTTGTATGGACTCCGGAAGCTTCTTATTCAGTGTTTCTGGAAGAAGCAGAGACATCATTCCGCCAAAGAGCACGCACGATCCAAAAATAACGAATGGCAGAGGCATCCAGATTTCAGACTATCAAGTAGCATTTTAAATCAGTTTAATGTACATAAATTATTCAAAATACTTCAGAAATCAAGATGATTAATTACCAAGTAAATGACGTATGGAGCAATTACGCCACCGATTCGAGCGAAAGTCGAGCTCGCTCCGAGGCCAACGTTTCGAATAACCGTGGGAAATTGTTCGGCAGTAAAAACGTAAATAGCACCATAGGACGATGTAATCGTTAGTTTACCGATCATCGCCAGGCACACTACGAGCCATGGGGCGTCTACAAATATTAATAAATTAATAGAATATAAATTAAACTGTCTACGAAAAATCAAAAATTCATTTTTATTTCACTAACCAGCAGGTACGAACAGAATACCAAGCAATGCAACTCCAGAGGTCAACATGCAACCACACAGGATGAGTTTTCTTCCCCAACGATTCAACGTGAATATCAAAAACGTGTACGCGGGTACTTCCACAAACCCGGAAATCACGAAATTAACATAATCGTTGCCACCAAGGTTGGACACATGCCAAGATAAGCCGTAGTACGTACCGCTATTTACAAGCCTAAATATAAGGAGACGGTGACATTACACTTGTGCCTACTAAATGCCAAGTAATATTTGGAAATAAAGGTTACCAATTGAAAAATAGTAAAATACTCTTCCGTCTCAAGTTTGGATATCGGAAAAGGTCAAACAACGACGGTTTTTTATAATCTGGTGCACTCTCATCGGTACTGTTATTGAGAAGCGTGTCCAGAGCTTCGCTAGGCATCTCCACACCGTTTTCTAAAGAGGCTCGTTGAAGAAGATCCTTCGCTTCTTGCACACGACCCTTCGTCAATAGCCAACGCGCTGATTCAGGAATGAACCTGCAAAATAAGTTTAACATAACCTTTAAAAAAATTCAATAGGAGAAAATAAATGAATTCAACGATACAGTGAACTACAATTATCTCAATTCCTCAAATAAGAGGAATACTTGTCTTACCACCAGTAAAGAAGAAAAGCGATACTTGGTACAGTGATAGCGACTTGTAGCATTCTCCAGTCGGTAATAAAATACGCGAAACCAGCGGTTAGGATGTATCCAGTCGTGAAGAACAATTGGCAGCCAACTCCAGCTACCAAACGCTTCCTTGGACCTACCATTTCCAAGGCTGAAAGGCAACGTTGTCGTTCTCATAGTCAGTATAATAACATCGCTATAATATTAAATGATGCCAGTGAAGGGTGTACAGGTTTATGTGGATATATGGAATTCATAAGGATTTACCTATAACGTAGGCGACCAGAAACACTCCGCTGGTGGTCGAGCCGACTATTAATCTGAAGATAACGTAGGAAATAAACTCGGGTGATACCGCGACTAGTATACCGCCGACCAGCTGAATGACTAAAGACAGGAAGAAAATTGGTCTACGTCCATACTTATCGGACAAACCACCAAAAATCATCGAGCCAAGCATGACTCCTACCATGAACAACGAATCCCCCGTAGCTCTCAACCATGCCTTGTCGCATACTAAGTTCCACTGAAAATAAATGATTAAATAATACATATAAATAAACCACTTTCATAATTACCCACACAATTATTTTAAATTGCCTTTTAAGAAGGAAATGAAGATAAAATTTTGCAGTTCAGATGTACCTCAGAGCTAGTGGTACTTTTATATTTGCTCCTGTCGTAGACGTATCTGTCGCATGGCTTGAACTCATTAGTGTTGAGACCATTTGGAGTAAATGGTTTTTGGACGAGTGTATCGCCTGTCGACGTATCGACGTACCTATTGATCGTTGTCTCGTTAACAATATTAGGAATGTCCCGTCTGTAACACTGTAACCATTCCTCGTGCTCTGGGTCCCATGGGTAGCTCGCGTTCATCACGTCTGGTGGTAGAAAAAATGTGGCGTTCTCTGGGTTCTCGTGCGGTAACATACACCTAAAATTTATTTATAAAATAACAACAAAATTCATTGATAAAATATAAGGAAATAAAAAGATGACAATAATATATATTAATATGTTTGTTTAAATCGTCATAATTAATTCTGACCTAGCGTTCATTTTCGCGCTTAGGAAGACACCGGCGATCTTATGGAAGGCGCAGGATATCGCCGGAAGACAGAGCAACAGGTAGATCCTCCGCTGATAACGTCCAAACTCGCCCATACGAAGGATAACATCGTCGTATGCCATTTTTCCTTGATGCTTCTAATTCTTCTCCGCTTACGACTTCGAATCCCCGTGGTCCTTCTACTCGGGGATACGCTCCTGAAGTAATTTCTCCCTGTCGTCGAATCCGTCTCGACGGAAGTAATGATTTCTTGCCACGAGTAGATCCTCACAGACCTATGTAACGCTGTTTCGTTGAATCGAATTACCGATCCACGAGTTTCTACTGCGGCAAAGAAACCTTCTCGTCTCTATCCTCTTTCTTTCACTTTTTTTTTTCTTTTTTCTTCGTGAAAAAAGGGATTTTATCAAGGTTCTCTCCCCTTCTCTTATTAATTCATTAAAAAATGTTCCTTAAATTACCGTTTAATTCATACGCGTAAGTTAAAAGATTCTCGTTGGCGATCTACGTCATTTTCGTTCCTTTTAATAAAATAGAAGCTTCATCAAAGACAGCCTTTAAATGGGTACGTCTGATAAAACTAGTGCTTGAATGAATTAGCTTTGGAATACTGCTACAGTGTCGAAAGTATATATCTTCCTGGCCGGTTGAAAGGTGAAGTAGGCTTGTGGAGATGATATATCACTTGTGCAGCAGGCTATGTTTCACGCGTTTTTGTGTCGATGATCAACAACAGCGTCTAGGACACGACGATCAACTGTGCTGGCTCGGATTCTGGTGCACGTGGATCCCCCTCTTTCAGCCTGAAATTTAGAAGTTCAACAAGTTCGTGAGATACAATGTTCAACCTTTGTGAAAGCTTGGGCAATTTCTAATTTTAAGGGTGACACTAATAATATTCGAATTAAGTAAGAGCGACGTTCAGCAATTATGAAAGGACCGCCGCTTGGTCATTCATAGAAACGAATTCTATAGGCTGTTCGAAATCAATTGTACATTCAAGGCTATTCAACAGTGACTCCATACCATAATCTTTAAATATTATTTCACTATTTTATCCTAAAGTTTCATATTTTACGTACTTATATTATTATCTTTTTCCTTTGTATTTAAGGTAAAAGTAACGCTATCGATAATGGAACAAAGGATCGCTAAAAGGATCAACGATCATTTTCATAAGCGAATAAAAGGTAGGATGAAACGAGAATTGACATTGGAATGTTTCCAAATGGTATCGAAAGGTATAAATTGTTGTTTGCCGCGTGGTGTGTATGCAAATCGACGGGATAATGACGAAAGCTTCTCATTCTCGAGGCATGAAGTGGTTTTGCAGCGGTATATCAAGGATCAGTCGGAAACAGCAAGTATTGCGACATGAGCTACGTGTTATCGAACCATTAATAATGCAAATGAATTTAACACACACACCAGCCTTTACCGGTTTGAATTCAACCTGACCGCGGGACGTCTCCGTATATACGACTCCGATCAAAACATTAAGTAACACGTAGAATAAAAAGAATTCATCGGTTAGTTAAAAATAGTGCAGGAAATGTTTGGCGAATAGTCTGGAGAAAATAAAGTTGCAGGAAAATAATAACGAATGACTAAAATTTCAGGAATGAAAGGAATTCTGTAGGATTTTTTACTGGAATCTACGTTAACAAGGCGATATTTAAATAGAAGATTTTCTTATTCGTTTTAAATACAGGGTGGCTGGTAAGTCGTTTTACCGCTTAAAAGTTGAATGAAATCTTTTTTCAAAATTTCTAATAGCAAATTTTAAAGGACATAATAGAAAAAAAGTTATTGAATTTTATGAATAGTAAAGCGACTTGTGATTCATCTAGTAGATCTGAAGACTGGCTTTCGAAGAATTATTGCACATACTGTGTAGAGTTTTTTTTTATTGAATCTAATTCACACAGGTTGTTAAGAGGTGAAGAGTCGCACGAGCAAACAAGCATTTTAATATGCCTATCAATGTGAATACCAGGCATCAACGCCTTGGTGAGTACACTACCGCGGAAAGAAAAAGTAATCAACAATTGGTTAAAAACCGAGACAACAAGAGGACATCTGTCTGAACGAGATAATGAAAGGGAGAGCCGTGTCGAGTGACAAGAAGCAAGGGAATACTTAATGCGACTTTTAGTGGCATTGAAAGGGAAGCTTCTCACGAATTTACAAGTCTAAACTCGATTTCTATTTCAGTATGCCAATTGGGAAATAGTTCTCGAAATGGTCGAAGTTTGGGATCTATTTTCAGTGCTTTGTGAAAATCGAACGAGGACGAGTTTTGCAATTAACGACTAAATACACGTTATATACGTGAAACATTCTCACATTTATACCAGTGAATGGATTAAACGTGGTCTTGATAGAATCACGAGTGCGTGCACGGTGGAACTTATGCAATTTCATTTAGACTTCCTGAAGAAAGTACAAACGCGGCTGTCTCGCGTGTCGGCTTGAAGAATGACAGTGGCCTAACTGTCCTCCGTTTCCACTCAATGGAACGCATGAATCGAATGCGTATACCGCCTTCTGCAATTCTTACTCAAGAAATATTTCCATTACTACATACTCGTTTCTACGTCCTCGATGATCAGTTAACCGAGAGCTTCCCTCAACAAATACACCACTTAAAAATTGAATAAACTTCTTACAAAATCTGAAACAACAATTTTGAAAACATACAACGAAAAAAAAAATTATTCAATTTTTAAACGGTAAAGCGACTTATAGGCTATATTCATACTTCGTTCTTTTTCCTCTATGAAAAATTCACTAAACAAACTCTAACAGAAACAATCCACGTTCTTAACTCACTGAAAGTTCCATCGAAAATCTACTCAAATCAATGTTTAATTACCCTACTAATTTAGAAGTTAATTAAGCACAGATGTCTCTTTGAACATATCAGCTTTAAGGCCACATCTCTCTCCTGTTCTCTCCCACCTACTAAAAAGAGCCTGTTCAGCGTGCTTATGCGCGTCACGTGCTAACCTAGAAGCTCTCTTGCCCTACGTGAACTACTCTAATCGCGTTTAGATCAAATATTTAAGTACATCGTACAACGCAAACCGTGTCCCACTCTGTCTGTGCCAGAGGATGATTCTCTCGCGTGGCGAATATTCACTGAGACGTCACACTTTTGTCAAAGGATACCAGAGAGACGCTACAGACGAACGAATGCGAGACGATCCTGCACGCACGAAGGACGGACGACGACTGCCGGCGCTTTAGCCAACGATACACAGGAACCCAAGTATATGACCCTTCCTCGGAGGTAGCAGTGGCGCCGCAACCACCACCATCCGCTGCATCACCACCCTACCCTCCTCCTACCCTCGCTTTTCCGTCACGGTCAGCATCGTTGACCACCGAGATTCCCACCAGCGTTCTCCTACCCTCCGGACTGCCACGGTCAACCGTCCTAAATGGGTGTCTGAATGCCGGCGACTCGCTGAGACCAGGGATTCTACCTTGCTTCTCTATGCTTCTTCTGTCACTATGGTTACACAGGCTTGTTCTCGTTGATTCTCGTTTTCATTTTCTCCTTGGTTTTTTCTGTGCTTCGTAATTGCCTTGAGTTTGGTTTTAATTAAAAGATTCAAAGCTGAAATTGTTGTTTGCTGATTAGTATTTTTGTTTATTTCAGGTTTGGTGTACATTATAGAGAAAGTTTGATTTTCATTATCTGTGAATTTCTTGTGTTTTATTAACTTAGAATTTTACCTTTGATCTTTCGTTTTCTCTGTTTCTGCAACCTTGACCTCGTAGGTGGTTGAAACGTTTTATTCTCATTCTCAGTAAAAAAGTTTATCTTTAATACTTCTCTGACTTCCCGAAGTATGTCTTCGTTAATTGGCTGATATTTTTTGCTTTTAAAATCGTTTTCAATACTGACTAGATTTTATTTTAAGATTCACAGCTGAAATTGCTGTTTGACGATTAGTTCTCCTTTTGATATTCTTGAATTTTTGTTTATTTTAGGTTAGGTGAAAATTGTAGAGAAAGTTTCATCTTCAATAAACTATGGATTTCTTGTGTTTTATTGGTTGAGAGTTTTACCTTTGACATTTGGTTCTCTGTGTCTCTGCAACCTTGACCTCATAGGTGGTTGAAATTTTTTATTCTCATTATTGGCAAAAAATACCTCTACCTTTAATCCTCTCATCTTCCGAAGTGTGTATCTTCGTAATTGGCTGATATTTCTACCTTCAACTTCGTCTTCAACAATGACTAGATTTCGTTTAAACAATCAGAGCTGAAATTATTTTTTCGATGATTAGTTCTCTTTGATATCTTTGAATTTTGTTTAGTTTTAATTATAGAGAAACTTTCATTTTCAGTAGACCTTTACCTTTGATCTTTGATTCTCTCTTTATCTGCAACCTTGACCTTATCAGTGGTGGAAACATTTTTCTTCTCGTTAATAATAAAAAAAAAAAAAAATTCCTATCTTCGATGCTCTTTTCATTTTTTTAAATCTATCTTCGTAATTAGGTAATATTTCTACATTTAATTTCATCCTCAACACTGACTAGAGATTCTCTACCTTTGGCTATTGGCCCTCTAAATCCCTGGCTTTGACCTCACCTTCGTCTCTTCGTCTCTCTCACACCAGCTTGTGACTCGTCTTGATCAGTGACCAGCAAACCTGTTGCTCCTCGTTGAATCGGCCGATTCGCCGTGCCAAATTCATTTGGACAAGGTGGGTGAACAGGGGAAATCGGCCACGAATAGTGTGGAGAACATCGTCGAGGTCACGTTGCTGGCTCGTTGCTTTTTGCATTCCATCCTGTATCGATGCAGAGGTTCTTCTTAGTCGTCCGATCATTACCTTCATGCTTCCATTACATTCAGTAACAATGTATGTACCAAGTTTTCGACTCATGAATGATCAAGTAGCCTTATTAAGTTAATGGGAGCACCTATTTAGTTCCATACATTTCATGATTCACGATATTCACCGGAAGTTCAAAAGCTCTTCTTGGAAAAAATGAACGCAGAAACAAGCGAAGTAATCATAAACCGTGCGTTCAGTTGAAAACCGCAAAAGGAGAAACGACACTATGTACCGTCTATCATACTTGTTTGTCGTGTGTGCACCTTTTTTTTTTTTTTTTCAAGAAAATAAAGTGGTACAAGTTGATGTCTAATCTAGTACAAAGAGAAACACGGTAAGCAAACATCGCTTACTATCCGTGCTGTAAGACTGAATTGCAGCTAGAAGGCCTATCTTCAATGTAGATATTCCCTACGTTAACGACCTAACCAAATATGTGAATTATCCTCGCGACAGAAAGCCTGAATATGCTGACTGTATTATGTAAAACAAATTGGTACAACGATGGTCCCTTGATGCTGTGTAAATAACATTGAGGTAAAAATGTCTCCAGAGAAATCATCCTGTTTCG